ATGGATGGGCCATTTCTTTAACGGCAGTGGCATGAAATAAGCATTTTTTTAACGGATGGCATGGATATACCATTCCTGAAAGTTGAGTGGCATTTTTAGGCCTTTTCCGTAAAATATATCCCATTTTTAAAAAAGTACTAGTATATTTACCCGCGTGATGCACGGATAGGTTAAAAGAAAACAAAAAAAGTGGAGAGTGATATTGAAAACAGACGTAAATTGCAGAATAATTTTATAGACGACATTAAAAAGAATTAAATCAAAAACAAAAAAAAATAATTAGATTGTCTGTCTAAATTTTTTTTCTAGAGACCACCAATTCTCAAGAGTTGTTAAAACATACTTGAGTAATGTTACACCAATACTTGGCTTTAAACGGATTAGTCCGCAAGAAATTTCAGAAATTTTTGTCCCAAGTACATTCATAACAGACATCACATTTGGTTCAAATCTTATTTCATCAAATGAAGCTTAATCAAGGCACACTAACTCTGTTTTTATCGAATTTGAGGAACATCTCGTAGAAAGAAAGAAACTCACATGCATTGATTGCAAAATCATCATCGAATCTCGGAAATTCTTTTTGTCATGACAAAAACCTCGACCAACCACACGCGTTGGTTCCTCTCTATCCACGCATCTGCAATCCTCTCGATATTTGCAGCAACGACACTCATCATATCGATCAAAGTGTTCTCATTGCACCTCCTCTTTAAGGGCTGTTTTGAGCGATACGATGAGGAATTGCTGTCAAAGATGGCACTCAACTGATCAAAGTTCTCAATGTGTTTACCCCTCATGAAGTTTAAATCAAGATACGACTCACAAACAAATAAAAAGTTTACAGTTTAAGTAGGTTCCTAATGTAAATGATAACAATAAAACTTAAGATAAACTTCCATTAATAATGAACATTTTTCAAACAGGAATTTATACTCACAAAGAGAAAAAACATAAGTAAGCAATTACTCTTGGATTTGCTGAATTTAAGTTGCACTCTAAATACAGTCTAATGCTCAAAACTAAAGTCATCACATTGAGCTCCAACAGGTCAAACATTAGAGGGCATTTGAATCATTTACAATAATGTAGCTAATAAATATCAATTCATTATAATAGATTCAAGGTCCCTAATATTATAAGGCAAGCCGAAAAGGGAAAAGAGAGAGAGAAATGAGAGTAAGGTTAATATGCAAGGATGAACATAGTGAAGAGCATATATTTTTATGAAATGACGACTCATTTAAGGCGGCCACTCCAAGGCTATTGGATTGAGAAACAAAAAAACGAAGTAATAGGGCCTTTCTTCCGATTCATGACAGGGAGTGTCATGTCCAAAGCTGCATAGTATTAAAAAAAGAGAATGATGAGCCAATAAAAAAATTTGGATATATATTGCTAAATGTAGCGACAATATTCAAAAGAATTAAACCAAAAACAAAAGGATGAATTTTGTTTTGTTTTTATATAAAATTGTTGCCAGGTTTACATTACATGGCTTTTATTTATATTCACCAGTCAAATTATTGCATAAACCCTCCACAATTGCATTTATTTTCTTATTCGGTTTTCCTTTCTTTCTGTTGTATTATTTTGAAATATAAAAAATATAAAGGTGGAAGATTTAATACCTTTGTTGTAAATAAGTCAATTTAAAAGTGGATGCTTTAATACCTTTTTTTGTAAATGATACTTCTGCTTATAGTTATGTGGTTTGGAAACCTTTAAACCGTGTGATGCTTTATTTCAACATTGATTGCCTCAGTTTCTGAAATTCATTCCCGAAAAAGGTAATTCTTATGTATTAAAATAACTTACTGAATTTTGTATCTGATTTGAGTGTTTATGCTCGAATAGTTGTTGGCAAGAAAGGACCACGGTCCATATTAGTGCTTGAATAGCAAACTTTCTTGGTCAGGGTGACTTCCATAAGTTTCAGTTGACTTGGAGTTAGCTCAAGTAATTCAAAAATGGATGTGCTTCGACCGCTTTCATTTGACTGCCACCTTTTATATTGAAGCCAATCACTGCTTCAAATAAACTTTAAAATAATAATTGCTAATCAATGATTCAAATAAACGTTAATTTCCTATGTAAACGGTCAAACCTATTCCAACTTTGGATAGACCGCGAGATTAGTAATTATTTACCCGACGGTGAATGCTACATTTACGAATCGAAATAAATTTAAAATAGTTCAGCTAAATTTTGACAAAGAGTATACCTTAAATATGAGAATGATATTGCCATTCTTCATTCAAAAGAATAGGCCTATTAGTAAGCTTGCGAGGGTCACGAGGCAGTTTACTTTTTATTGTGATAGAAGGAGATTTCTACGTAAAAGATGTATAATTAAAACTCTTGCATATTGATTAAACTGTAAGTTACCAATGGTCTTTTGTCAGATATCTCATAAGTCGTTGACAAAAAAAATATTAATATAAAGGCATTTCACGAAATTACCATGGTTCTTCAATATTTAGTCAAACAATATGAGGCACGCCGGAGTTCAGACTTCCCTATTTGGCGTGTGATGCCATGCCATTGAGCATCTAAAATATATGGGATATTCCATAATTTATTAGATTACTGAATGCAACCATATGCAGATGAAACTTGACGTGCCTATTGAGAGATATAATTTTATAGTCAGGGAAAGTTTTGAAAAGTAGAATAAAAGAAATTCATAGGAAGTTAAAAAAATATCTTTGAAGATATACAAATAATGTGAAGTTGACTTTTGTATATATTGTAGTTCTAGAAGTTATCTTTTCAGTGGCACAAGCGGATTGTAGTTTAGACGTGTCTGCAGAGATATATGGTTCTTTAGTCAAGACACGCAAATGTTTGAAAAGTAGAATACCAAAAATTTGGAAGTAAATTCAAAAGCATAATTGTACTAATCTACAAAGAATCTAGACCTTATTTTTGTATATATTGTAGTTCCAGAAGTTCTCTTTTCAACGGCACAAGCAGATTATGGTTTGGCGTACCTGCAGAGATATAATTTTCTTAGCTGGGATACACAAAGCTGTGAAAAGCTAAAAGACAAAAAATTAGAATTGAGTTTAAAAGAATATCTGTATAAATATACAAAGAATCTGAACCTGAATTTTTTAAATATTGTAGCTGCAGAAGTCGTCTTTTCAACTGCACAAGCGAATCGTAATTTTGACATATCGGTATAGAAATATGATATTTATAGTGAGAAAGCGTGAAGCTGTGAAAATTAGAATAATAGAAATTCAGAACAAAATTCAAAAGCATATATGCATAAATCTATAAATAAATGTGTACAATTCTTTTTTGTATATATTATGTTCTAAAAATCATCTTTCCAATGGCAGAAATGGATCGTGTTTTCTACGTGCCTGCAAGGACATACTATTTGTATATTCAGGATGCATTATTTCCATGAAAGTTCATCATTCATGAGTTTGTAGAGTGAATTAGTTTTTAAAAAAAGGACCGGAAAAAAAAGAAAGTGCAAAGAACATAGAATAGTGTGTACCTATCTTCTATGTGCCCTTTGGAAAGAGAAACATCATAGTCAAATTAAGAAGTCTAAAACATCCTGTAAAATCCAGATATATGAACATAGAGTTGAATGATTTTCCTAAAGTTCTTTGGATTCCTTTTGGTCACCCCAGTCAGCATAACATAAAGTGTCACCATGCATAACCAAAAACATCAGCCAACTGAAATGGTAAGAAATAATATTTTAACATCCTAAGAATAACGATTAATATATAGGTTCACTCTTTAGGCAAAGAAGGGAGAGGGTGTAATAAGAAGATGTAATTACTTATGAAAGTGTGAAATCATCAACAGTGAATTCAATAGGTCATAGAGCGATCAATTGCAGCAGTTTCTTAATTACTCATAAGGGGAAAAGAAATAGAAACATTAACTGACACATTGCTCTTTAGGATGGAGCTGTAACACCCATAGCTTTCTCATTTATCTTTGTCAACTACTTGTGAATTCAGAATTGGTACTCCTTCTTGTACACAAGAATTACATGTAATAAGTTAAATTTGATAATACTAATTAAACATGTAACATCAATTCGCAAGATGAAAATATAATTAAGTATTTTGGTGCAACAAAATCATATGTGAAAGACCTTGTTCCTACATATGAAATAAATATCTAATTATGAATTGAGGTAATATTACACATCCAAATGCAATGAAAATATAGAAAGAAAGTGCAATAGGAAGCTCCAACCAAGGTAGATGAACCTATTCCTGAACAATGAATATAAGTTTACATAACTTGATAAAAGACATAGTAATTTAGACTTGATACTCATATAAATGAACATGAGAGAAGTTATAAGCTTCATTTGGTGAGTTAAAACTCCACTGAAAGCATAATTTGGCAGAACTCAAATCTGAGCACTTCATAAGATGATCTTATTTTCTCCACTATTCCGATAGATAATTCCAAATAAAGGCCTAAAATTTCAAATGATTCAAAACATATGATAAGAATAAAAATAACAGATAGAAAAGAAAGAAAGATTTAAATGGAGTGCTTGAAAAACAGAAAATACGATAGGAATAGCAGTGCAGACGTGTGTACACTGCAATACCCATAAACCGTTGCAGCATAACAGATCCATGTCTTATTTCACCTATATCTCATGTATAATAAATCATATGTTTACTGAAGTTACATCTTTGAAATGAAGATGCAAAGAAATAAAAATATTTGTATTGAAAAAATATAGAAAGAGTCCCATTTGTCAACACTTTCACAAAACACACCATCTGAAAAGTGGTGCATTAAGATTTGAAGCTTTCATTACTTAGAAGCTTTTTTTGCCGAATGGTTATGTCATATCCTATTCTGTTCTTCTTTACTTTTATGCATATTCTATTTATATAGTAATGGTTAGATATAAGAGATGATTCTAACACAATTTGCTGATAATCTTGATGCTCATCTTTCTGTCACGTGGAATGCAAACATCGTGTTACTACTTTTAGATGATAAATGTGGTTTGATGATTGTATAGTTTCAAGGTGATCATGATTGATAATTTCAAAATGTAGGAATATCATGGAAGCATACTGCAATTAAATCAAGAGCCTACCAATGATCATCCCATGTCAATTGCCAAAGGCTCTAAGGATGGATGAAAAGGAAATGAAACAGCTATTCAACGATGGTGTGCAATCAATAAGGATAAATTATCCGATGGAACGGTGGGAGCTGGTTGATAATTGTGTCAGAAATCACCTCAGCAACTCTTTTCCCAGTTGGTTCATCAATCCTAGCAACAAAAGTAGTAAATTTAAGAGAAGATATATTTATTTATGAAAATACTGAATCATAAACAGTAAATTCAACAAGTCATAGAGTGACCAACTACAGATGTTTCTTAACTACTCATAAGAGGAAAAGAAATAGAACCATATATGACATAAATTCAACATTGAGTTTAAAAGAATATTTGTATAAATATACAAAGAATCTAAACCTGATATTTGTATATATTATAGTTCCAGAAATTTATAATTGAATTTAAAAGTATATCTGTATAAATCTACAAAGAATTTATATCTAACTTTTTAATAAATTGTAGTTTCAGAAGTCCTCTTTCCAACGGCATAAGCGGATCATAATTTCGACATGCCGTTGGAGAGATATAATTATTTTAGTCAGAGCGTGCAAAGCTGTAAAAATCAGAATTGCAGAAATTCATAACTGAGTTAAAAAGAATATCTGTATAAATGTACAAAGAATTTGGACCTGATTATTATAGATATTGTAGTTTCAGAAGTCTTCTTTCTAGCGGCATAAGCGGAGCGTAGTTTTAACGTATCTGCAAAGAGATATGAATTTTTTGGTGAGGACGCACAAAGCTGTAAAAACCATGTCTGAAATTCATAACTTAATTCACAAAGAATGTTAACCTTATTTTTGTATAAATTGTAGCTCTAGAAGTTCTCTTTCCAACATCACAAGCGGATCACGGTTTCTTTCAACATGCTAAATAAAACAATGCATACAAAAGACATTATCATCTAAAGAAAATCTTAGTAATTAAATAGTTTAAAAGTAACAGAAGAAACGTATCTCCTCAATAAATGTCAGATTAAATTTCGAAAAAACTTTTTTAAATACTACATTTGTAGCTTCAGCAGTTATTTGTCTACCATCATCAACAAAAGGATGACTTACGATAGAAACAAAGGTCAACAGATAGAAAAATTATAAATTTTATTGTTGAACTAAGAGCACACAGATTTGAATATTTTACCTAGCTCAAATATGCTTGTATTCAAATCAATACCAATAATTCTTGAAGCCCCTGCAATGTTTGTTCCTTTTGCAACCTGTTAAAATGAGATGCAACCAATTTAGCAATAAGAAGTCTCACAACAAAGCCTACAACTCCCAATCCAAAAGCAACTATAGTTGAGCCCTTTATTGTTTTGGCAACATTCAGAGTTGCGGGCTATAAGCATGCACAACTTGACGAATGAGCCTTCATAGAATTTACCACTTAAGATAGAGAATGAGTTAATAATGAAAAAAAACTCAAGATAGGCCAAACGCCTGCCAACTCTTTCAATTTTGGCATCCTACTTTAGAAATTTCATATTTTTTTATCCGACTTCAAAAATTAATTCTCGCACAGTTTCCTCCTTTTTGTGATATTTGGAGTAAACTGTGAATGTGTTACTTCAAATTACTTACTTATCAATATTTACTGTCAGTGAAATCAATCTTCATCATTATGAAATCATCATAATAACTATATTTTTTTTCTTAAGAAAAGAAATATCTTCTGATCATAGAACTATGAACCCTAATGACATTGTGGGCTGAACAATCATATTTGGACTTTAAGAATGGAAAATAGATTCAAAAGTTGATACACAAGCAGAGTGAAAAATACCCAAATAAACATTATCACTTTGACATAAATAATACTCACATAAAATTGTCTTTCTCTTCCTCACTAACACTGATCTCCATATCGTGACTTTTTGGGAGCTTCTTTCGTTGGCCATGGAGATACCTTCAATATGTACATGCACACAGATATACCAAATAAAAGAAGAATCATGAAATCTACGGGAAGTTGAGACTTTTGAAAGTGTATCTTCCAATATATCAGAAAGATTTTTGACACTGTATCTTCTATCCTTCAAAATTTGTAGTAAGAATTTTATTCAGAACAGAGTAAGGAGAGAATGAAAAAATATTTTGAAGAACAAACGACATAAGGAGAAGTGGAGAACGTGGTGAATTGTTATGCCAATCCCACGTTTGGAAATTATGCGGTCGTTCCTTTTGGGGTGGAGGTAGTGGGAATTATGTGATTAAATTTTGGGGTGTTTTATTTTTATTTGTTTCTTTTTTATATATTTGTGTAAAGAGCAATAAATATTGTTCAAAATTAAACTTTTGGAATTTTTTGTAAAAAGAAACGTGGTTTAGAGATTTTTACAATAGGTATTAACTGCCATGTTTGAACTTTTCAACTTTTTTCTAAAAATTCAAAATAAAACTTTTGGAATTGGCAGAAATTAACTGCCAAGTTTAAAGTTTTTACCTTTTTTCAAGATAAAAAAAATTCGAAATATATTACTGCCAGCATTAATAAATAGATTTTTTAAATAAATTTTGAAACTCCAATAAAATTGGAGAATTGTCCAAAAAAGTACACATGTCAACTTAAATTATGCCACTTGTCATCATAATCTTTCCTTGCCTCTCCTATTATTTATAGATTATAAATAAATTTAAAATTTAGCCAATTTTGGCGAATTTAAAAGTGTCGCTACTCTTTCTTTTCTTTTTCAATATTTGAGTCTAAAGTTTTTAATTTTCATAGCCTAATTTCATACTTGAAGGTCTGAAGTTTAAATTACTTAAACCAAAACTTTAAATCAAACCTTCGGGTCTGAAATTAGGCTATGCCAAATCTTAAATTTAGACTAGAATCGCACTCAAATTTCATACCTGCGATTAAAAGCCCAATATTCTAAAGTTGTAAATTTCGGCTATTATTTAAATGGAGGACCAAAACATGGTTGTTTGTGCACTTTCCCTCCCAATCATGAATAAGGAATCTGTAACGACCCCAATTTCCTTCTATAGAATGTCGTGATGACACTAGTCTCTACGACTAGGTAAGCCTAACATTTGATAATACGTGACAGAAATAATCAACAAAATATTAAAACAAGTACGATAAATTGATATAAACTCCTGAAATAGGATCTCAACAAATACTTTTCCAGAATTGGCGAAACTGAGTTATAAGCTCTACAGAGCAATACTAAAGTGTCTACTACATCACTGCATGAATGAAAATACAATAGGAAGTAAAACATGAGAAGGTGACTTCGAGGCTTGCGGACTAGAGCAAGTATACTTGAAGTCTCCAAGAGCAGCTACTCAAATCAACTCTAGCATCCGACACAGGTAGACGTACCTGAATCTGCACAAAAAGATGTGCAGAATCGTATAGTACTAATAGTACACAACAACGGCACCCAGTAAGTATCAAGCCTAACCTCGATATAGTAGTGACGAGGTCAGGTCACGACACCTAATGGGATATAAATAAACAATATCAAAATATAAGAAGGAATCATAATGGAAGACGGAGAAATAACTGATGCGAAACAAGTTAATATCATGAACAAATGTCGAAATTTGAGCATGAAAATAACATAAAGGAAGCAACTAAAGAGAAACACAATGATAATATATGGACAACATCTGCTAGAACAAGGAAGAACCAAAACAACAAGAAATGTCCCACCAAAACTCTTTGCAACACGAGATAAACAACCAGAATCACAACGAGCTACCTCCTCGTGTACAAAAAGAATCACAATCGAGGTACCGCCTTGTATAAATCAAGAATCACAATCGAGGTACCGCCTCGTATTCACTTTTCTTAATTTGAATCACAATCTTTCCTTATACTGCCGCGTGAGCCTTACATTAAACAGTTTTGAAAACATTTTTGCCCGAGATAGCTACACGCACTTTAGCTCACCTTATGACGTCGTGTGCTTCACGTAGTTCCCCCATAAGCAACACTCACATAAGTCCCACCTTATGCCGCCGCATGCACATTAACACCAAGCCTTATACCGACATATGAGCGTCAATATCATATCACAATAATAACTCGCACCAGAGTGCCCATATATCATAACTTGCCAACAATCAACAATATCAATATTTCCACAATAATAGCCCATGGCTTCACCACAACGTGTATAAGAATATCAACAACAACAATGAATGTAAAATGCTCAACAAGGAAGATGTCTCAACAATAACAATAGCCGCAACGTGATAATGGCTTTCACAACTTCAACACCAACAACTCAACATTGAGAGAGATAATGTATAACCACAATATTAAATAAGAATAACTCAGAATGGAAGAGATAATGTGTAACAGTAACTTCAAATAATGAAAATCCACAGTGAAAGGGATAACATGAATAATAACTTCAAGTAATGATAATCAACAATGAAAGAGATAACATGATCAATAACTTCAAATAACGATAATCAACACTGGAGGAGATAACATATAACAATAATAGAGGCAACAAGCTCAACTAAAGCATGAGAGCAATTTGTCAATTAAGAGGTAGAACAAGTGTTAACGAAATCATTTAAGGAATATAAGAATAGACTAACGCAAGTAAAAATAGGTTGACTATGAGAATTTAGTACATGATACGACAATTCAATTAAAGCATGGAAGTCTAAGTAGCCTAAATCGGTCAAATACCAAGTACAACCCGTGTACCCACTCGTCACCTTGCGTACACAGCTTTCACATAGCACAAAAGATACAATAAATCCCAAATCCTAAGGGGTAGTCCCCCCTCCCCCCTCCACAAGATTAGGCAAGATACCTCAACTAGGCCAATTCAACCCGCGAAAATAGCTTTCCCCCTAAAATTCGCCTCCACACAGCTCAAATCTAACCAAAGGAAAATTAATTACAATACATAAAGCTAAGATCTTTACACTTTTTTCAAGTCAACAAAAGTCAACTTGGGGAATGCCAGTCAAAACCCGGGTCCAATGGTAGATTCCGACTACCCATGACCCCAAGAGTTTATATATGTGATTAGTTTTAGAATCCGAGTCCAAATCGACTCTCAAAACTAAAATTCTTATTTTTCAATCTTTGGCAAAGTTTCACAAATTTTCACTTTGTTTCACATGATTTTGATATTAAAATCTAAGATATATTGATGGAATATGATTTGAAATAGATTAGAATCACTTACCCAAAGTTTGGAGATGCAAATCTCCTATCTAAACTGCCTGCTACCGAGTCTAGGGTTCTAAAATGAGAGAAGGAATCCCGACTCCCAGCCCTTTGTACCAGCTACAGTTGTTGCATTTGCGACACAGGGTTCGCATTTGCGAACCCTTGCAATTGCGGACCAAGGCTCACATTTACGAACCCTGATAGCCTCCTTCATCATTGCAATTACGACAAGAGGCTTCACAATTGCGAAGCTGTGATCCTAACAAAAGCGAACAGAGTAAAAAACAAGCTGACTTCGCAAACACGAATAGGAAGTCGCAATTGCGGCATCTGAGCCCCACTATCACTTTTGCAATTGTGAGGCTGGTGCTCGCAATTGCGATAACTGGGCACCAACAACACCAATAGTTAAATTTTAATGCAATCCATTCCGAAACATGTCCGAAACTCATCTGAGCCATCGGTACTTCAAACCAAACATCCACACAAGTCTAAAAATATCATACGAACTCACTCGCGCGACCAAAATACAAAAATTAACATCTAGAACTATGAAGCGAACACTAAAACGCATAAGTTTCAAAGTAAATTTCAAGAACATCTAGAATTTCAACTAAACCCGTGAATCCTATTAAATCAACTCCAAAATGCAACCAAATTTTGCAGACAAGTTCTAAATATCATAATGGACCCATTCCAAGTCCCAAATTCAAAATCCAAGCTCGATAGCTAAAAGTCAACCTACGGTCAAACTTTTCAACTTCAAATTGCCAAACTTTGACAAAATAACATAAATTAATTTACGGACTTCCGAAATCAATTTCGGGCATACGCCCAAGTTTGAAAATCACAATGCGAATCTAGTGAAAATACTGTTCCGGGGTTGTTTTCATAAAAGTCAAAGTACATTTCTAATTTAAATTTCTAAGTCAAGAATCAAAGGGTCCAATTCAACCCGAAAGCTTCCAGGAATAAAACTAACCAACCCCACAAGTCATAAAATCATAAACACACGCGTGTGAAGTATAAAAAGGGGAATCGGGGCGCAATTACACAAAACGTTCGGTCGGGTCGTTACGGAATCTTTACACAAATAGTCAGTCGTATTCACGTGTTACTTTTCCTAGCCGGTACATACGAATTATATATTGATTATACGCGCGCGCGCGTATATATANTATATATATATATATATATATATATATATATATATATATATATATATGAAGGACTTCGATGAAGAATAAATAAATAATAAAAATAAAAAAGGACTTCGATTTGGATCCAGTCAATTTCAAGATACCGGACCATACTTTCCATCTCCAACCCATTTATAAGCAGTTGGGTGAACTACTATTTAGGTTAATTCTTGAAAAAATTATGCGATACATCAAACTTTACATTGTATTTATCATTCGTAGCTATACTTTTAACGAATTTACTATTGTAGCTATATTTAAATTGTATATCAAATCCATTGAATAAGAGATAAATTGTTCTGAACTGAAATATGAGAAAAATAAGCTCTCATAGCTTAGTTGGTTAGAGCGTCTACTTAGCTAGCAAAGGTCTTGAGTTCGAATCTTAACAAGAACATTTTATTTTTCTATATTTCACCTTAGTTGTATTTGTTGCGCGAACAAATACGTATACAAGTTGTATCCTTTGTATACACCTTTGTATTTTGCTTTGGTTACATTGATACATATTGTATTCATTGCACGAATAAATACAATTGCGCGAACGAATATAATTAACACAAGTTGTATTTGTTGCGCGTTTGATACAAGTTAATAATAATTGAATAATAGCTATGAATGCTAATTACGTAAATTGTAGTTATTAGGCTCTAAACTATAGTGGTTTATGAAAATTCCTCTTAATTCTTCCATGAAGAATAAATAAATAATAAAAATAAAAAAGGACTTCGATTTGGATCCAGTCAATTTCAAGATACCGGACCATACTTTCCATCTCCAGCCCATTCATAGTAGAGAAATTTTCATAAAGCACTATCTTTTAGTAGTAATTAGCCATCTATAGATACCATTTGATATATTACGAATTATAGATACCTTTTCTGTGGTTATAAGATGTATTTGATGTATTTAAGCTATTGTATTCATGAATACAGTAGCAAAAATAGGCGTGAATCAGGGAAGTCCAGCTAATTAGTTGGTGTATTCGAGTGTATTCGACTGTATTCATGGAGTGAAACATGGGATTACAGCTGGACATATTATTGTATTCGACCGTATTCGACTGTATTCACGGCGTGAAATAGGGGATTACACTATTTTTAAAATGGAAAGTGAATCAATTAACATAATAGACTCCTAATATAACTCAACAAACTCAATTATACACACAAATTTTGTATTTTCAGTTATAAAAAAGATTCTCAACCGAAAAATACCCCCAAAACATAGCAATCTTCAGAGAAATTATATAATACATCTGAATACATAAATTATATTAATTAAAAAAAACATATGAATATATTCATGGCGTATAGCGAGACAGTGAATACAATGAAATACATAGAATACAACGAGATACATTGAAATACAATAAAAAAAAAGATAGTGAATACAATGAAATACATGGACTACAATGAGATACATTGAATTACAATGAAAAAAAAGACAATGAATACAATAAAATATATGAAAATACAGCGTGATACGTTGAAAAAACATTAAAATATATTAACAGAAAATCAAGTTGCTCAGCCCCATACTCCGTCGTCTTTGTACAAGAACAAACCCTAATTTCCGGCGAATCCGCCTTCGAGCAAGAACCCAGAATATCACTGTTCACACGCCGTCGTCGATAGGAGGCATAGCTTAATCCGTTCTTTAGCTTCCTTTGGCACATAAAAGACATGGCTTTTAGTAAGATATAGATTTTGTTTGTGAGTTTGAGTTTGGATGTATGACATCCAACATTCTTATTATTACACACAGGAAATCAAAGACTGTCTTTGAAGGAATACCAAGACATTAGCTCCCCGTTTCAGCTTTCTATCTCTCGAGTGAAAGGCTTTCTGGAGAACCATCGGCTTTCAGCTTTACAACTGAAGGGTTTAGGGTTTAATATTCCATATGGAGGAAGAAGAATGGCGATGGTGGGTCAAGAAATTGGAGAGCTCTTTATGAGAAATTTGAGGTAAAAGTTGTATCAAAGTAGAGAGAGAAAGAAAATATTGTAACTGAATAACGTATTTAGTGGCTTAGTAGTAGGAGGTAACCAAAATTAGATATTTTGCTATAAATATTAAAAGGTATCTATAGAATATAAATTTTTTAAATGATATTTATTTAAAATAAATAAAATGTTAATCTTTGCTATAGGAGATAAAAATTCCTTCATAATAACCGTAATTGGGCCATCCAATTAAGCAGATGGCCCATGATGATGACGGCCCTAATTACTTGTCGGGTTTTGAAGAAAAAACCCAATTCTTCACTCTTGCCTTGAAGAAAAAGAAAAGACAACTCAAAGCTTTCACTCTCCAACTCCATTAAAGGAGCTTCGCATTGCACACAGTGTGTGATTCCAAACTCCAAAAAACGACATCGTTTTATAATCCCTAACATTTGACAAACAGAATGTTCAGAAACCAGTACGATACCGACGTGACGACATGGTCACCGGCGGGGAGGCTATTTCAGGTAGAGTACGCAATGGAGGCAGTGAAGCAAGGTTCAGCGGCAATAGGTTTGAGATCGAAGACGCACGTGATTCTCGCGTGCGTTAATAAGGCGAATTCCGAGTTATCCTCTCACCAGAAGAAGATCTTCAAAGTTGATGACCACATCGGAGTTGCAATCGCCGGACTTACTGCCGACGGCCGTGTACTTTCTCGTTATATGCGTAATGAGTGCATTAATTATAGTTACGCTTATGAGTCGCCGTTGCCTGTAGGCCGCCTTGTTGTTCAGCTCGCTGATAAAGCTCAGGTTCGCTCTTTCTCAAAACCCTAAGTTGTTTTGTATCTGATATCTGCTTAAATGATTGCTTTTTTACGGTTTGTTATTTGCTGATGAGCTGAATTCTTCTGTTGCGCTGTTGAAATTGAGGGGCTAGGGTTTTAGTCATGCGCAGAATGCAAGGTTTTGGCAGCGGGTGCAGAGCTATAGATATCTAAGGAAACAACTTTGGATTGGAAATTTATGATTTTTTGTTTGCATTAACTGTCACAAAGGAGTAGTTGGTGCTGTGGTACTCTATATCCACTGCCTTAAACTCCTGGATCCACCTCTGATTTTAGCTTGGTTCGAAGGGGGAACTAGTGTTCTGGTTTCAGAATTTCCCTTCTGGGGAAAACAAGTTGGATTTTCCCTCAAACTCTTGTCGTGTAGTATTATTATCATTTGTTGAATTGAAGTGTTTATGTTCCTTTTGGCTAGTAGTTTCTCATTCATTACTAGTTGGATTTTTCTCAAGCTCTTGTCGTATAGTATTAGTATCATTTGTTGAATTGAAGTGTTTGTGTTCCTTTTGGCTAGTAGTTTCTCGCTCATTATCTCTAGCTGTGCCTCTCTTTTACTTACAAAGTGAACAAATAAGCAATAGTTCTAAGAAAAAGGGTGGGAGGCGGAGGAGGAATTTGTTCAAAAATTTTCATTTCTTCCTTGCTTTCCTCCCATTGCCAGTGACATTGAGTCACAACTTCAATGCAATGAGACGTAACTTAATTTGGTTTAGCATGAAGGTTATCGATGTCCGTGTTCCTATTTCGTATTCTCTTGGTATACTTGCGTGCTGCTCTCCTAATATATTCAGTAATAGAGCAGTTTTCTCAACTATGCAACTATAGGAAGATTGCACCGTAAAAGATTTAGGTCCGGCTCCCTAGATTCTTAAAATGCCAAAAGTATTACTTATCTGATATAGTTATTGAAACGGTAGACACGAGCTTTAGCGAGTGACCATTCAACAGATTGGTAATAGCTTGAACGCTTTTATTGCTCCATTGACTAAGTAGGTTTTGTTGTAAATACTCTTGCGTGGTCCTAGAATTAATTTATGTTTGTTTTTCACTTGTCAAATATCCATATTCAGTTTGAAACTTTGAATGGAAGAAAACTACTTGCCAATTGCTGCATATTTGAAGCTTATAGGTGCTATGCTTTTTCTTGGGCAATCTATTTGGAGCTAGTTACCATTCTATTTTACTGTTGGACAACTCCCGTTAACGCTGATGCACTTTAATTGTTTGCACATGCATTTGTCATTCCTGGAGTTGCATCATAGTCACATTATAGCCCGGCTTGCCCAAACTTTTTACCACTTCCACTTTGCAAATAAGGTGCCATAATATGAAGTGCTACCTCTAGAGTAATTAAATGTGCCTTTTCTTTGGTGTAAAACTGGGTATAAGATCGTTGGATTTTCCTGTCAGATATCAATATATGTTCTTGAGGAAATTAGATACTATGCCAAATGAGGGAACATCGTAATAAATGAGTTGCTGCAATGTGTGGCCTAGGCGTAATAGCTAGTGTTATTCAAGCTGTTATCATAAGTGATCATTCTTAATCTTCTCGTAAGGAAGTACAGTGTAATTCAGACTATTTGAATTAGGTACCTACTATATGCTGCCTATTCTGTCTTATGGAAAAGTATTGTACATTTTAGAACTCACCAGCTAGAAATTTCTACTTTTCGTGTTTAGAAAATATGGAATGGATTTTGCAGTGTAAAACTTCACTGTAGCCTTAAGTTGTGGTTTTTTGAGGCCATGATTTTATTATTGCAGGCACTCCTTGAAATTTTTCTTATTGCTAACTGTTGGTAATTCTGCAATTCAAGTAGGTCCTGAGGTTTTACTGTTCACATACGTCCAAATCTGAGGATTCTGAAATTTGCACTTAATTCCGCGAACTCTAGAAATCTCCCATAGAGGTAAAAGAAATATAGACATGCACGGGATAAAAGATGAACTAAGTAGTGTATGGCTTAATTAACCAATTTGCAATGATACCTTCTTAGATTTGTGGAATAAGTTGTGTTCCGACAACTGTTAAAACTAGAGGGCCGCAAAGAAAATTGGTGGCATTAATTTTAAGTCATTTTTACAAGCCTTGATGTGTAGACAATTGTCATATTCTTTCTGCTTTAACGATTCAGAGTAAGGTTACATCAAGCTCTTTCTGCCCTTTTCTTTTACTAGCTCATGTCAAATAATAATAAGAGGACTCCTCTAGCTTCCTTATATGTATAAAAAAAAGACTCCTCTAGCTCTTCTCAAGAAAGCATGTGGTCTTGGGAAGCTCTGAACTTCTTATTTATGCACAATTTTATCGGGTGTTACGATGATAGGTTGCACCAGCTGTGTGGTGCCTGATATAGGATTTCTATAATTTGTCCCAAAATGTCTTACAGAAGGAAAAAGTAGAGCTCAGCTCTTAGATGATAGCTGGTATTCTTGATGTTCGAACAGTTCTGTTCGAGTAAAGAAACAGAAAAGTCAACAAGGTTCTTTTAGCTCTTCACTACGGAGAATGTGCAAAGCCCTAGTTCATGGAGGAGAGCTGAAGAAAAACTAAAATTCTTTTTAGTCCTTTGTCATGTCCCGGTGGATATTGAGCTATATGTTGCTGTTTCCCTCAATTTGTCAGGATGATCTATTGACGGAACGAATTTTTGTTATTGGTATACGAGGCTAACTGTCTGATTTGAAAGTTGATGCCTCTTCCTTGCTCAATATCATCTTAACATTCACTTGTGTGGCAGGTCTGCACTCAACGATCCTGGAAACGGCCTTATGGTGTTGGCCTGCTTGTTGGTGGGCTGGATGAGTCTGGTGCTCACCTTTATTACAACTGCCCTAGTGGTAACTACTTCGAGTATCAAGCTTTTGCCATTGGATCTCGATCACAAGCTGCCAAAACCTACTTGGAACGTAGGTTTGAGACTTTCATGGACTCTTCACGGGAAAGCCTGCTTAAGGATGCACTCTTTGCACTGAGAGAAACTTTGCAAGGAGAAAAATTAACAAGCTCCAATTGCACGGTCGCAGTGGTTGGAGTAGGAGAGGCTTTCCATATGTTGGACAAGGAAACAATACAGGCATTGATCAATGAATTTGAGATAGCTGGTGAAGAAGCTCCTGCTGCTGCCCCAGAGGAAGCTGGTAGTGATGAACCAGCAGCAGCACCTGAAGAGGGCGCCCCTGCTGATCAAGGAGCTGCCCCAATGGATATCTGATGATGTTATGTCCTCCTTTAGGCCTCACTTCTTTCATATTCAGAGATTTCTTGTGTTAGAATATTGAGATTTTGTGTGGCACAATGGGTAATATTTTCTGCTTGGATATTTTATTATGCAATCATGCTTTACTTTGGTCCAAACATGTCAAAGCTCATGCTTCTGAAGTTGAACTATAAACAGTTTAAATGACTTTGTCGGGTTGGAGAGCTCTCTGTCTCTGTCTCTCTCTCTCTTTCTCTCTCTCTTTCCTCTGTGTTTTTCTTTGTTAAGCACATTTCATTTTCTTCTGTCAGCAACTGTCAGACGAAATGACGACTGTCGACTAAACTGTAGAGGTTTTGAGGTAGGGGTGGTGTATTAGTTCGTTTGTGTCCACGCGAGCTTGGAGGTGAGGGAAACTTCCGACTATGATTGAATGAGAGCTTATCGTCAAGTTTAATTCATAAGTTTGAGGAAGTTATATATAAAAGGAAAAGAATGTGTGTACTTCTTAGACGCGCATGTTACCTCCATGTGGTACAGAAACAAGCTGACCGACCCCTTTGCAGTTTTACATACCAAGTAGTTTACCTCTACTACCAGTCACATGTATGTTGCAATTGGTTTCTCATCAAATTTCAGATTATAACTGTCGCCAGAGAACCTCATAAATAAAACTAAACACCTTGAGGTATTACCTACTCGATTCATTTTAGTGATCGACTTGTGCAGTATAATTGTAATTTGTTTTCATGATATCCGAAGTTAATGCAGTAATTACAAATGTCGACATAGGCCTCATATGTTTACATAATGAAGGTCTAAATCTTAATCATTTATATCTCATATATTAAGTGTATTTATTTTTAAAGTCTGAATTTTAATCATTCAGATCTTAATCATTAAGTGTGTTTATTTATTTTTACTTTACAATCACTTAATGAGTCTGAATAGGTCTGTATGATTAAGATCCATAACAGAGACCTAATTTCATTAAGATGCTATCATCCACATTCATTACTCCCACTGTCTACTATTATCAACTATCACCACCAGCAGCACCATCCTTATCCATAGCCGCCGCCACTACCACCACCTATCACACCCACCACCATCATTCTCAACCACAACCACACACTCGCCCACCTCAACTACCACAACCAATCACCCCATCATCATCATCAACCATAGCCAGCATCCCCCATCATTATAAACTACCACCCCCCACCATCACATTCCTCAATCACAAATCAACACCACAACCATCGCCACCACCCATCATTATTAACATTCACCATGCACCACCACTATCCTCAACTATAATCGCTATTGCTATCAATCACCACTAGCTACTACCCAGAACCACCACCATCAACCAAAACCACCACCAACCACGTTTATGCGTATTCAAATTCAGATGTTTTAATCTAAATACACATTTTAATATTCAGATATGTGTTCAGATTCAGACGTCTTAATCTTAAAAAAAACAAATGAGGCCATAGTCTATAACTTCTTCCAATAGGTAAAGTTAATGGGATATATTGATAAATTTCCATAGTGCCTTCAAAAACAAAAAATAATAGGTAAAGTTAATGGGATATATTGATAAATTTCCATAGTGCCTTCAAAAACAAAAAATAGGTGTCAGTTAGCTCTATATTTGAATTCCTTATCTTGAGTGAGAGCTATACAACGTATTGGGACTTTCATCGTTGTAATAACATCAATCTGGGCTACTTCTGTGAATGGTTATGATTTCTCATCAACTCCAGATGCAATGCCATCAATCATCAGCGCGACCTTACTTGGTGGGGCTTGTGAGTTATTCCATAATTAAGCGAGTGATTCTGCGTTGGTCTTCGATATAGACAATCTTCATTTGCTTTTTTCTATTTGTTCTTTCCATTGTTGCTTACATAGATTACAATTATTTTCTCTTATTTCGGACCAATGGACGGATAAATTTCTTGTTATGCAAATCTCCGTATGGGCTTTTGTTTAGAGATTTCAACTTCATCTTATATTTACTACTTAGGCAAATTTCTCGTTATGCAAATTGCTGAATGAGCTTTAGTTTAGTGATCAAAACTTCACCTTATATCACTTAAGCGCAATACCAATCGCACCCATGGGCCATTCCTCACTGCCAAAAAAGTTAAAAAGAAAGAAAAATGCATCCGTTCGAGTCTAGAGAACCACCGTTCTACTTGAATATCATTTCTATAGCTCGTTATAAAAAGGAAGATACATGTTCTGGTCATGGGAGAGTACACACGAGGTTCAATCAAGTTCATCGAGCTACATCTCAGAGAAGCGGGAAGAAGGGGTACAAGCTTTGATTCTCTGCTCTATGGCAAGTTTCAAGGCAGTGTATGCATCACGATATTTGATTTAAATTGGAGATCTAGATTCAATAATATGAACTTCGTTCAACATATCTTCTTGAAAAGTCAAATCAGCAGGAGTAGGCACTTAAAAAATACAGTGCTGCTCTTTTTTCCTTTTTTCCTTTGTCCTTTTTCTTTTTGAGTGGGAGGGGGGAAGGAAGGAGAGGATAGGGGAATGGAGAGGATTTCAGCTGGAGGGAAAAGAAACCTCGTGACGACAATACAAAATCACTTTTCTATGTCATAAGACTCACAACAGGCATTTGCTTGGCTCTGGAATGGAGATTCCTTTAGTCTGCATTTGTTTGTACATCCATTGCCAGTTTTCAGGAGATACCTCGCCCCCGAGAGATCGGATCACAGATCCACCGCTGCAAGAACCCACCCGACAACATTCCTCCAGTGGCAGCCCTCGTACCAATCCATACAAAAACCCACTTGCAAAGAGATCTCCTGCACCTGTAGCATCTGTTACTTTTGTCTCGCCAATTGCTGGAACACGGACTAACTGAAAACCAAAATAAAACCTCATCTTTATTAACCAAACAAACACCAAGTTACTAGTACAGCGACAACATGCTGTTAAGTTTGCTAGCAAACCTACTATAAGAATGACAAAGAATCACTAAGTTGGGGCATTTGAAAAAAAAAAGGATTTTCACCATCTTTCGGTGACGCAATGCACATACAGAAAAAGGTCCTTTTCCAAGCATTTTACTTTAAAGATGGGCTGCAAGTGGGAAGGATAAGAGATACCTCTTTCCCATGTTTTGCCATGCACCCATTTTGCGCTAAGGTTACAACAGCCCACTTGCAATGTTTAGCTAGAAATTCAAGTGCTGCCTCAGGATCTGCATTGTCTTCACCTCTGCACCAAATGTTGAAAAGACATGGAGCTTCATTTGCATGAACTGCATGACCGTTATATTTCAATAATATAATATCTCAGTTTCAATCCAAGGACAGGTAATCACCTTAGCAGCTCAGTTGCCTCATCCTCATTTGCAAAGCAAAGGTCTATATTTCCCGACTCCAGTAATTCAATTAGAGGTAATTTAAACTTCCTCACCATCTGCCATATATTACGAATATCAGAAAGGCACCAAAATAAAAAATAAAAAAGATCACAAATCCTATTACTGATAACAGAAAAGATTAGACACATTTCAACAGAAATGAAGTAATATGAGTTCCATTCAAACTAGTGTTATTTTTAAGCGTCTCCAATTGTTATCTCGGGAAATTTGTTTTCTACAGACAGCTCAAATGCAGAGTATGAAATAAGATCTCCGTATCATTTGAGAAGACAGATAATCGTTCCGCTTCAAAAACTCAAAGCAATTAATGAAATTCCCACGTAGTCTATGTGGACAATTACCTCAAAGCTGGCTAGATCTAGCGAAACGAAAAGGCCTTCTTCCTTTGCGATTTTGATGGCTGCCTTAATAACTTCTATATTCAGTATGGCATATCTCAGCACCAACCACTGTAACAAAATAAAATCAAATAAGTAAGAAATACTAAATGCTACCAATTTCACAGAGTTGTCCTCCAGCAAGTAATAACAGGAAACGCAAGTTTGAGGTAGATACTAAACAGATTTCATAAATGGATACGAGAACTCAAGTTACTAGGTACAAACGCAACATCGTAATATTTATAAAAAATGACGGAGACAAGAATTTCAAGAAGCAAACAAGAGTTCAGAATATCAAATAAGGGAATCCTCACCTTGGAACCTTTGAAGTCCTCTCTTTTCAGTTCATCTGCCTGATATGCAAGGAAATAATAAGATATGCTTAAGAACACTTTGTTTAATATTTTGCATGTCATTAGAATCATTAGTCACCAGTAAATTTGACGAGATAAAAGTGGGAGGTACCTGAACTTTCACAGAGCTAGACAGACAGGGACGCATTGTACGATTGCCAATTTCATCAACCAGACAAACACACTGTACATCAGAAAGTCATAGTTTTGAGTACGCGGGAATTATCTATTTACAGAATCCTAATATCCAACAGATATGTTCACCTGAGCTGTAGTTCCATTCTTCAATCTCAATCTCGAGATATCCACTTTGTAAAAGCCCATGTTGCTCATGAATAATTTACCTTCTTCATCATCACCACAAGCCCCAATGATCCCACAACTAATCCCAAAGCCAGCAGCCAACCCTCTAATTGTATTTGCAACACTGCCCCCAGCTATGGTCTTCAATGGAGATTCATCATCAGTAGAAGGAAGGATATGAGAATTCAGCTCGTTGAGTATATGCTTCAACTCCTCAACTGCAACCTTCAGTTAACAAAGGAAAACAAATGAAAAAAGAAGCAAAACTCTTAGAACTAGTTAATCAGACTCCTCTTTAAAACAATTAAGGACATTCCTAGCAAACATAATATTTCACGGCCTGTAGTTTCAGACACATTTTTAGTTAACTATTATGCCTCACCTAGTTAGTAGTTAAGGGTAAGATAAGCCAACCAACTACACCTTAACTGTCTGCTATAAGAATCTTCTGTATCCAATAAGCTTTCACATTCAAGCAAATTCAGTATTCTGAGATCATAGTTTTGATTATTTTATACTGTCGTTAACTACCGGCCTCATCCTTTATCCAAGCTTGGAACTGTTTGCATATAAGTAGAGTTAACAGTAAGCTATGCAACAACATAATTTTTGAACAAATGAAACCCACATGGATTAGAGAAAAGGGAGATTTTTCGACCGAGAAAATGCATTTTTTCAACTCTGTGTCTGTCCAATCCTGAATGCCATATAACCCTGTTTTCAGTCTCAGTTTGACTGTAGAAGTAAAATCCGGAAAAGTTACTTAATCA